ATGCTGGGAGGTCAAGGGTTAGCTTCCAACCCAGGAAATAGGAATCTGGGCAGTGCACTGACCCTGGGGACATCTTCAAGAGGAGATTTCAAAATTCCCCCTGGAGTAAAGAAAGTTTTTTATGCCACCTGTCAGTTCTCCATGACCCAAAGCCAGTTTTGGATGCTCTGAGTTATGTTGTCACAGAAAACAGAATTATCTCAAGGAAGAAACAACCAGCTCATTCAAAACAGAAGTTTAGTTTTGAAACTAAAGCAATAATTCAGGGAAGGGATCCACACCCTCAAAATACTCTTGCTCAGATGTCTGCCGCTGCTGGTCTCTTGGGCATCCGCCTGTGAACATTCTTGTGCCTGCTGAGAGCCACCCCGGCCGTGGGGCAGCTCTCTGGAAGCACTCCTGGGCTCCACTGCCCTGGCCAACTACCATCAGGGGGAAATCCTGCACTTCTAGAGCATGTGGGAACACAGTTGGCTTCTCCTGCCCATCCCTGACCACATCACAGGGCTCCGGGGAAGAACAATGATGGGGTTGTGATGGTGGGGTTGATGCTAGCAGTGGTTGTAGTGATGGTGATGATGGTGGTAGTGGTAATGGGGATGATGATGGTGGGGATAGGGATGGGGAAGGGGATGGTGACTGTGGTGATGGTTATGATGGTCATGGTTGTAGTAATGGTGATAATGATGGCGGTGATGGTGAAGACGGTGGGGCTGTGAGTAATGGTGATGGTGGTGGAGATGAGGACAGTGGTGATGATGATGATCATGGTGAAGATGATGATGGCAGTGATTATGGTGATGGTGATGGTGGTGATGATAATGGTAATGATGGTGGTGATGACGATGATAGTGATAATAATGTTGGTGATGATAATGATGATGGCAGTGATTATGGTGATGGTGATGGTGGTGATGATAATGGTAATGATGGTGGTGATGACGATGATAGTGATAATAATGTTGGTGATGATAATGATGATGGCAGTGATTATGGTGATGGTGATGGTGGTGATGATAATGGTAATGATGGTGGTGATGACGATGATAGTGATAATAATGTTGGTGATGATAATGATGATGGCAGTGATTATAGGGGTAACAATGGTGGTGGTGATGGTGATTATGGTGATAGCGATAAGGGTGAAAATTTTGGTAGTGGTGATGATGGTGATGGTAGTGATAATGATGATGGTAGTGATAATGATAGTGATGATGGAAAGGGTAGTTGACTCTAGTAGAGTCCCTGCTGGGGTTTGGTGCTATGCTTGGGACATCATGAAAATCAACTTAATCAGTATTAAATACCTAAGTGGGAGGGAGAATCGTTATTCCCATATTACAGAGGTGTACATTGAGCACAGGGAAGGTAGTGCCCAAGGCCCTACAGGTGATTCTGCAGTCTGAGGCAGTCTATGCCTTTGCCAGCTCTCTGCACCATCTCCAGTTGAATTCAGACAGGTTCTGCTCCCAGCTAGGCCTTTGGGATGTTTCCTGGTGGGAAGCCCTGTCATAATCTTGATATTCCACAGGGCAGGGGGAGAACTTCAGACCAGATCCTGAATGATGATCAGACAGAACCAAACCAGTCTTGCAGATCCAAACTTCCCCTTCAAGAACTTCCTGACTGGAACAGAGAGAGCAAAACAAGGTTCTGTGACCTGCAGAGAGGTTTGGGTTCTCTGGCTACAAAAACTCCTTTGAGCCCCTGCCTTGGAAGATATCACATGCTGCTGTCCAGGTCAGCCTCGGGGAAGCTGGACTCACCCTAAGACGCCTTGGTGGGGAGGGGAGGGCTCGTGAGCTGATGCTCCCCACTCTACCCTGCATCAGATAGCTGCTTAAGAAATTGGACCCCTCCCTCATCACTCTTCTCAACAGCCTCATCCTCTGCCCTCCCTTTCCACAACTGCCCGAGTGTGAGGCCTGCCCCCAAAGAGGCCTAACCCAGGCATCAGGACCCACCCCCTCTGACCTCTAGAAGCCAGCTTGAGAGGAATCTGTAGTCTCTGATGCACAGCTGTGGCCTGCACAGCCTCCACCAGAGCAGGCTCCTTTCATCCATATCAGAAGAGCCTGTTCTGACAAAGCTAGGCCATGCTACAGGAGACCAACCAGCTGGCCAGGGCCAGTGAGCCAGTGAGAAAGAGGAGGTAGAGGCAGGCCCAAGCATGTGATCACCAGCTGCCTGGCCTGGCAACCCTGAGACAGGCCAGTGGCCGTGTCAGCAGGGTAAGGCTCAAGGAGAGGGCTCAGTGAGACTCCCGTCTCCTGGAGAAGACTAAGGCTGGCTACGTAGTGCAGTCGGTGAGATCTGAGGACGGTGTTAGGTGGTCTTGATGAAGAGGTCAGAGGCAGGGCCATTTGAGCCAGGATCTAGGGAAGGGTGAGTCATCATGCAAGACAGAGGGGCAGGCACGGGGCTGGTGGTGGTGGAGTCCTCCGCTCTGGAGGGTGAATGGTGCAGCACAGAGACCAGGATCCCAGGGAGGCGCCTTCAGCCCACTGTCCTCCTCTGCTGCCAATTGAAGTCAGCTCCACCGCCACCACCAAGCCTGCCATCCCTCCTGCCAACTTCGGTTCACCCAAGTGCAGCCCCAGTGAGAGCTCCAGACAGTCTCCTGTCCCCTCTTTACCCTCACTCTGCCTCATCTGACCTGTGGGGCCGGCACTGGGTGGGCCAGGCAAAGGGCTAGAACCTCCTACGCTCTGCCCAGGTGGAAGTGGGGCCTGCTGAAGGCTTTAGGGTGTTTAAGGACTCAGGCCTCTTGAAGGCAAAGCCTGAAGACCCAGGGAGCAGTCGGCTCTGGGTAGACACACCTGAGGCTTCTTTCTAGCCCCAACTAGGCAGCCCATGGTCAGCACAGCTGGCTACTGCACAAAGCAGGGGTGTCCTGCCCCAGGCCTTCTTCCCAGCACCAGACCAACAGAGCAGGGCTTTAGGAATGCTCCCAGCAGGGACTATGCAGGCCTGGCCAATGCAACTCAGGGTCAGAAAGGAGAACCGACAGGCTAGGTGCCCATGACAGCTGGCTGAGGAGGCCAGAGGTYATACGCATTTTAATCAGGGACTCTGGTAGTTCCTACAGCCTTCTAGAAACAAGAGGGGAGAACCAGTAGGGAGCAGGCGGGGCACCTGAGACTGTGAAGGGGCATACCCTCCAAAGCCGACACTTAAATTGTAAAGCAATCTGTCTGCTGTCTTTCTGGATATTCCACCCAGTGCAGAACAGGGGTGGAGGTCTTTCAAGTTCACTTAAGAATGGCTTTCAAGTTCACTTAAACATGCACAGTACAAACTGGGCAGGCAGAGGCAGAAGAGGTTCAGGGATGCTGGCTTCTCACTGCTCCTCCCCTCTCAACCTATGAGCAGCAAGCTGTATTCCTCTCCTCTTTGCCCCCATGCCCATCCAGGGCCCTCAGACTTCCACTGCTTCCACCTACCTGGCCCTTCCCAGAGGCAGCAAGTGCTCAGGTATGTCCCTGGCCACACCCCAGTGCTCTTCCTGCTGACACCTGGGGGTTACCAGTAGACTCACATCTTTTGGAGGCATCTTCCCTGTCCTCCCCAAACTCAGCACCTTGTGTTTGCCACCTGGGGCCTCTTTGGGAGGATGCCTGCCTACTCAAGCAACGCTCTACACTCTTGGGTGGAGACCCCCTCCATATGCAGCCCCTCCCCTGAGTTGGTGGTGGTGCTATGGTCTGTGGTTCTGTGTCCAGTGCCCAAAAAGGCTGTGCCCACCAGGCATCTTCAACAGATGCTCAGTTTGCAGCCTCCAGCCAGTCCCTACCCACTGGAGGAAGCTGGGAAATGTCCCTGTTGCCTGGCATTTTGACTCCAAAGTCATCCTCACCCAGCTCTGGAGAGGTGCAGGTTGGGGAACCCCAGATTCTGGAGAACAGGTGCTCCTAAAGTGCCTGAGGCCCTAAGAGCTTCAGAACTGCGATGGCTCCCTGCGCCACCGGAGGGCGATGTCAAGCGGCTCCAACTGTCCCGGATGACGCTTGGTGTGTCCACCCCATGCAGGTCCCAGCAGAGTGGGAACACCATTCCAGGGCTGGAGGGTGGGGAACCAGCAGGCGAGTGGCCAGGACAGCTCGCTTCCCCACGCTGCTAGGTGTTACAAGTCTGGTTTAAGGTCCCGGACCTTTGTGGCCAGGGTCATTGCAACAGGCTGGGCCCTTGGGTGGCGCTTATGAGGTCCGGAGCCGGATGAGGACGCACAAGTGTTTAAGGAAGCCTACCGGGCCGGGGCGGAGGGCCAGGGTCCCTCTGCCACCGCCGAGAACACAGGTCGGCCCTAAGTCGGGCGTGCACCTCCGGTCGCCCAAGGAGGCGCAAGGGTACCCTGGGATGGCCCAGTGCCCCTGCCTCTCCCACGAGGCCAGGGCAACACTAAGCCATTGCAGGGTGCCTGCGGTGCCCTCTCTGTGTCCCGGGTCTCCTCTGTCCCGCCCGACCGGCTTCCTGCGCGCCGCCAGGGACTTCCTCCCTTCAGTGCCCGGCGGCCTCGGGAGCCGTTGCAGGGGCGCTGTCGGAGACTGGGAGACTCGGAGACTCGGGCGTAGACCCGAGGCAGGGGAACTCCGTGATACAGGAAAGGGAGGGGCCCAGGGTAGGGCCAAGGGGGGGAGGGCCCCAGGAATAGCACCCGGGGAAAGGGTCTGAGCCCTGCCAAGGGTCAGGCGAGTGTCCTCGTTGCCCCTCAGCTCCTGGCTCTCAGGGCCTCCCGGACCAGGGGACGCTGCTGGCCAGCGTGCGGAGACTATCGAGCCCCCTGCCCGCCCCGCGGGGCTCCGCAATGCGTTCTCAGCCCAGTTCCGCCAGTAGGCGCGGGCAGCCGGGCACACGCTACGGGCGGCTGGCCCGTGCCCGGGAGCCCAGCCCGCGGCCGCGCGCCCCGGCCGGCTCCGCCGTGGCGGCCGGCCGAGCAAGCTTTGTGACGTCAGGCGGCGTCACGCGGGGCTGACCCGGCGGCGGCGGCGGCGGCGGGCGGGGGCGGCCTCGGGACGCGGCGGGAGCATGGAGCCGCGGGCCGGCTGCCGGCTGCCGGTGCGGGTGGAGCAGGTCGTCAACGGCGCGCTGGTGGTCACCGTGAGCTGCGGCGAGCGCAGCTTCGCCGGGATCCTGCTGGACTGCACGAAAAAGTGAGCGGGGCGGGGGCGCGGGCCCGGGACGCCCCGGAGTCCCCGGGGACACTCTGTCGCCGGACCCGGGACCCGAGACCGGCTGGGGCGGGGCGGCGGGGCGGGCGCCGGCTTTCGGTTTCCGCCCGGCCAGGGTTTCGGGGCGCGCGAGCTGGCTGCCGCTGGGGGGCGGGGGGCAAAAGTGGCTGTCTCCCAAAGTCGCCGGGACTTTCGGGGCTGGAGAACGCGCGGCCGGGCGGAGGGGTCTGCGGGGCCAGGCCCGCCCTGGCGCACGCGGAGCCGGGCGAACTCCGCAGGTCTGCAGTAATTAACACACTTTTCTTTGTTCAGCCGCACTGTTGAATTTGGCTGTTTGCAGAATTGTAATCCTTCAAGAGGGATCAGTTGTGTGATGGCCTTGCCCGGTCGCTTAGGAGCCCCGGTCTTTGCGTGGGTCCCAAGGCTTGTAGGAGCGGCTGGTGGGGAGCAGCTGTGGCTGTGCCGGGTGTGAAACACTGCCGCGGCTCCCGGAGCCCGCGCGGAGGAGTAGAAGATATAAGTTATGGGGCCAGTGTCCCTGCCAGAGGGGCGGCCTGACTGCACACGCACCTGTGCACTGGCTGCAGGGACTCCTGAGCACAGAAGAGCCTCCTGAATACCTGTCACGTGGTGGTGCGCTGTCATTGCCAGATAAATGATTAGGCATTAATCATCTCTTCTCTTGCTGGGCTTTATTTTGGAACTAGGAGCGGTGGATGCCCCTGATCTGAAAGGGCCAACTTTTTGCTTCCCCAAAGCCCAGGTCTTTCCAGTGGTGTGAACAGAGCAGAGATGGTCCTTCTTTGACAGTGATCCCGCTGACATTATCTCTTCATTAGATGTGCCAGAAGCCATTTATGCACAAGTCATGTGACTTAACATATGGCCTCCCGTGTGACTGTTGCCCTGCTCTGTGTTGGCTACCACTGGGAGTGCCTGACGAAGGAGTGACACTCAGGGGCTTGCAGAACAGCCACCTGAGAGCTGCTATGAGCCAGGGGTTGGGGTGTCTGTGACCCCCCACCACCACCCATGGCTCCTTGTTCTTCTGGGGCCTGCTGCACACTGGTCTTTCCTACCTGGAGAGGGGCATTTGCAGCTGAGGTGCCCCCTGAACTGGGCTCCCTGACTAGGAATGAGGTAGGCTGAAACACCCTCAGCTCACAGTGGAGATGTCTTATTGACTGCAGAGCAGTGGGCGCCCCTCCCTGAGACCTGGGGCTGACTGTTTTACAAATCCATACCCCATCAGGGAAAGAAGCAGAGCTGCTGAGGCCAGGACCTGGGAACTGGCAGCTGTAGAATGTGGGGGCATCAGTGCCACAGCCAGAGCCACCTTGAGCCAGGAGCTGGGTCTCGGTGGGTGCAGCTCTGCTCTGCCTGGGCTCTGTCTGATTTTGGCTGCCCCTGCATCTTTGTGGAGAACCCAAGGATAAATCTGGCTTTCCTTGCCCCTCTAGCCCTCCAAGGCTTGGTCCCAACACTGCCCCTGCTTCTGCCTTCCTTGGCCTCCCCTGTTTCTGTTTCCAGTTCTCTACCCACAATATTATGAGTTGCAACACTAATGTTTACCATCCTGCCTGTCAAGCAAGAACCAGATCACAGCTTATAAGCTGGTTCAGATGCTATGGGCAGTGGGGTGCTGTCCTCGTGCTACAGGGTCCAGGTGCCTGCCCTCCCTGGGTGCCAGTGTCTCCTCAGTGCCTGGCCACTCTGCTATGGAAGCCCAGTTCCTGATCTGAGCTGCTGGTGCTCCAATGATCCATGTTCACCCTTCTCAGAGGAGCCSGAGGGTCCTGGAGCAGCCAGGTGTCATTCAGGCTGTCTTCGGGGCAGATCACTATTTTGGGTGCTGATGGTGTTGGTAACTATCAGAGCAGCTTCCCTGGCTCAGATGCTTACCTGGTGGCCTGGTTGATCACTGCATGTCCCCCTTGCTGGAGTTAAATGGTCAGGTGGGACAGGCCTCATTTACACAGGCTCCTGGGTGGGAGGGCTGAACCAGGGCCAGCTCGGGTGTTCTCTCCTTTGGTTCTCGTCTCCTGTTTGCCGGCTTGGGCTCAGGTCTTCACAGTGTGCATTTGCATTTTGAATCTGCTGTCAGACTACAGTGTGGTCTGCAACAGCTCTCAGCTGCTCTGGGTCTGTCCACGCACTCATGTGTGCTCACCGAGCACCCACTGTGTTCAGGGACTGAGCCCAAGCTGCTCCCGCAGTCTACTTCCTGGCAAATCTGAGGATCCCTTCCACAGCTCTGATGACTGAGTTGTGTCTGGAGGTTGGAGTGGGCTGAGAACCTCAGGTGGTGAGCCCCTAGCTGAGTGGTGGCCTGAGGAGAGCAGATGTCCCGGGTGTGGTCTTATGAACAGAAGATAAAAGGGTCCCTACCCATGGCCTGGTGACCCAGTGCCTCCAGTCTTGATATCTAAGCTCGTGTGGGTCACACACAGTGGATTGCCACACAGACCCAGGTCCTGTGTGCTGGGAAGGTCAAGGTGCCATCCTGTGACTAGGACCCCAACTATTGCCTGTCCCCCATCAGAAGGGCATTGAGTCCTGGCCCATACTCCTCCGCTGTTCAGGACAGAGACTCAGCTGCCAGTGGATGCTCCCAGGATGGAATGCAGTGGTGTGGCGATGTCCCCCTTACCCCCAGGTAGCCGGAGGGACCGAGCATCAGGACTGGTGTGCAGGGCCCTGCTGGCATGCTAGTCTTGGTAGCTTCTCCATGGGGTGCTGTCTGAGCAAGCAGGTGAGGAGACGTGGTGATTGAGGAGTGGGGGAGGGCCTCGCTGGTGCTGCTGGGGAGCCCAGAAGACTAGAGAAGGATGCTGATAGGTCTTGGAGTCCAGGATGCAGGGGGCTCCACTTGCTTCCCAGGATCTGCAGGACTTACGCGTTCATAGGGTGGGGCAGGTCCTAGTATGTACCCTGGGGAAGGAGCTTTTGTGTCCAGGTTGTGGCTTGTCCTGCCAAACTGCTTGCCCTGACTCCCAGAGAAGAGGGGGCCTGGGAGGCCTCGAACTCCCGGCAGGTCTGGGCAGCCTGTCCTGCTTCCTGCAGGGCCTTTCTGCTCCTGGACTCTGTTGTGCCCTGGCCCTGCAGTTCTTTGTCTGCAGGGCTGCAGAAAGACTGTGGGTGCCCAGGTGGGCCTTGGTGCTGGATTCAGGCCATCCTGAGGCTCATGCTCCTGGCACCATGACTTTGTGAAGGTTTCCATGGGCTCCTCGGCTTTGCACACCCCATGTTTACCGGCCCCTGCAGGCAGCAGGTAGCAGGCAGCTGGCAGCAGCAGGATGGCTTTCCCACAGAGGCTGGGAGGAAGTTCCAGGGCAGACGTGGGGAGAGCAGCGGCTGCCACTCAGGTGCAGCAGCCTGTGTGTCCCGGGTCTGAGGACAGGCAGCGGGGCGGGGACAACCAGATGGAGACGGCCACAGGCTGGGRTAGTCTGGAGTTCAGGCAGGCAGCCAGGGCTCTGCTCCTCCTGCCCATGGGCTGGCCTTGGCCTGGGCTATTGTGAGTGGACAGCTGTGCCAAGACCCTCAGGTTGGTCCCTAGGGACACAGCTCGGCCACTGGAGTCCTGCTGAGGACCTTGGGCCAGGCCACAATACCCCTGGCCTCGTCCTTGCAGCACACCCTGCAGAGGGAGAGAACCTTGGTGACCCTAGAGAGCTCGGGGTTTCTGTCCCATTTCCTGCTTTTAGGTCTCTCCCCACTCCCCCAACTTGAGCCTCCTGAGCTTTTTATTTCTGCCTCAGTTTCCCCATCTTCCTCAAAACATGTTTTTCCCTCCCTGACTCTGAGCTGCCCAAGTTTTACTGTCTTGAAGGTTGCTTCTGGGTCCCTGCAGTTTTCTGCATGGAGACACTGGCTAGCCTTGTGTGGGCCCCCACCCTGGTGACTCACCACAGTCCCCAGGGCCCCTCCCCATGTGCCTGCTTTCCATCTGAGTGCAGGGCTGCTGCTGTTAGATGGTGGTGTGATTGGGGTCCTCCATGGCTGCATCCACCTGGTGGGCCCTGTGACTCCAGGAGGGATCTGGCAGGCTTGGTCTGGTTCCCGGGTGGCCCACTTCTATCACCCTCTAAGGCCTGCAGTGTCATCTGTGGGTACTGCCAGGCCAGGGAGCCTCTGTCCCTGGGACTGGAACAGTGCCAGCCATGCTGGGCCTTGTGGGTAGCCAAAGCTGCAGTGCTTGCTTCTGGGCCCAGGAAAGGCTGGGGTTCTTCCCAGACACCACCTTGTGCCAAGGCTGTCTCCATGCTTTGGAGGCCGTGGGCCCGGAGTCACGGGACCACTCGGCTGGGGCAGATTCTCTGGTCARCCTCACTGTCCCATCCATCAACTGGGAATGGAGGCACTGGGCAATCTGTGGGCTGCTGAAGGGYGGAGGGAGCCCAAGTCCCTGTAGGCCAGTGCTGTGAGCTCTGCTGGGCCCCAGGTCTGCTCCAGCCTGGGGGCAGCCCTTCCCACTGTTTATCCGCCAGKCAGGGGTGGGTGTGGCCCTGGCAGGGCAGCAGCTCCAGGAAGGAAGCGTGGCGGCCTGCTGTGCCAGGGTCACTGCCATCTCTGCAGGGCCAGCTTCTCTTGTCCTGGGCTGTTGCTGTCAGAGGGTGGTGTGATTTGGGGTCCTCAAGGGGATGGTGTGAGGCCTGGCTGTGGCGTCCCAGGGTGACCTGCTGGAAGGGACCAGCCCCTGGCCTATGTCTGGTAGGCAAGCCTGTGCCTGGGTTGGGGCTGGTGTCTCTGGCCAAGAGTTGTGTGTCCATCCTAAACATGCAGGTGCCACCTGAGGGGACTGTGCCATGCATGGGCAGACTCGTAGGGCATGTGAGCTGTAGGGCCTGTCCGCGGGGGTGACCCCACCCTGCCCAGCCTGCCGTGCAGATAGCAGGTGAGGAGGCTGCAGAACATGTTTGGGATCCCCCAGGAGAGAAGATGGAGGCCACTGTAGAGAGATGAGCTGGGACTTGGGTGGACAACGGGCCAGGGCTGCCCAGCAGTCGGGCTGTGTATCCCTGGGCCTGACTGGCAGGAAGGCTGCCTCGGAAGGCTGGCCTGGGACATGGGCTGGTGTGGGGGACCTGTGGGGAGGCTGTGGACGATGGGCAGGGGAACAGATGGGGAGGAGGACACCAGAGGAAGCCCACTTCACAGCCTGGGTGCCGTGAAAGCGGCGGGACCTGTGCTTTGGCAGGGGCCCTGGGAAGAACTCTGCCAGCCCTGAGTCCTTGCCCTGCAGCCTGCCTCCCTAGCAGCTGCAGGGACCCTGTTGTCCTGGCACCTTCAACCTGTGTGTTTGGGGTGCCACGCTCCCCACTCCCAGGGAGGGGTCTGCCCAGGCTCCCGGGGGCTCACTGCCATCCAGACCTCCCAGAGCTCCCTGAGCCCCCCCACTAGGCTTCTGTTCAGAGCTCCGCTCCATGGGGCTAGGGACTCTCACTTCGTCTTTCTCTAACACCCCCCACATTTGCAGCCCTGTGATGAGTTCTAGGGTGAGGGCTGGGGGCAGCAGTTGGGCAGCAAGGTCCTTCTAGGTCATGATGGCCAGGGAGGCTGGGTGACACAGCCCTGAGGACCACTAAAGCAGCTGGGGCCAATCGTGGGACTCTGGGCTTTGAGGGGTCACAGAGCCTGGGAGGGCTCTGGTCTGGTGGCTGCCGCTGTCCTCTCTGGGCTGCAGAGGCTGGGGCTGCAGCTCTGCACCTGGCCACATGCAGCTCCACCCCCCGACTCCATGCACATCGGATGCCCAGGGCTTGGTTGCTCCAGGGAACAGGCCTAAGGACTTCGAGGCTGACCTGGGAATCCCCAGCCCCTCTGGAGAGGAGGGAGGGGAGCCAGTGAGCAAGGTCAGGTCAGGCCGTCCACATCTCTGAACACAGACCCTGCTCTGAGGCTTCCTGACAGTGCTCAGCTATGAGCTCTCCTCCCTGGTGGCCACAGCCCAAGATTCAGACGCTCTGATCAGAGAAGCAGCCTCCAGGCCACATGTCATGGGCCTGATGTGCCTRCGTCCACTTGCACACTAGGACAGATAGTTCACAGGGGCCTGCTTCTCAGTCACAGCCCAGGGATGCCACCCAGCACTTGGCACATGCCGCCACTCAGCCTGCTGAGAGTGGGTCCAGGCAGCAGGGCAGGGGGCAGCTGGAGTCCTTCCCTGCTCACTCTCTCTCTCTCTCTGTCTCCCCTGCCAGGTCCGGTCTCTTTGGGCTGCCTCCGCTGGCTCCACTGYCCCTGGCTGACAATGCCCCTGCCCTCAGCGGCCGCGGCCAGGCCCCTGAGGAGAGGGATGGAGAGATGATGCAGCTGGGCACAGGCTCCCCAACTCCTCCCTGCAGGGACCAGCCCTCAGAGGACCAGCTCCCCAGGACGTCCGGCCCCGAGCCGCCCCCACCCCTGGTGCCTCCGCTGCCTGCTGGGAGCCTGCCCCCCTACCCGCCCTACTTTGAAGGCGCCCCCTTCCCTCACCCACTCTGGCTCAGGAACACTTACCAGCAATGGGTGCCACAGCCTCCGCCCAGGACCATCAAGCGGACCCGGCGGCGTCTATCCCGCAACCGTGACCCGGGCCGGCTCATCCTGAGCACCATCCGCCTGCGGCCTCGCCAGGTGCTCTGTGAGAAGTGCAAGAGCACCGTGAGTCCCCAGGAGGCCAGCCCTGGACCCCCTGCTGCCCCCAGGGCCCGCCGGAGRCTGGGCAGCGGCCCAGACAGGGAGCCTCGCAAGCCCGAGGAGCCCGAGGATGGCGACCCGGTGGCTGCRGCCACTGCGAGGAGGAGCAAGAGGGAGAAGCGGGAGGAGGAGCGGGCTCCCGGGGAGCAGGTCCCTCGGAGCCCCGTCATCAAGATCTCCTAYAGCACTCCCCAGGGCAAGGGCGAGGTGGTCAAGATCCCCTCCCGTGTGCACGGCTCCCTGGAGCCCTTCTGCCCCCAGCAGGCCCTGTACAATGGCAGCCCGGACCCCGAGGCACCGCGGGACATGGAGCCCAGGGACCCTGGGGACCGCCTGCCCAGTGGGCCCTTGGCCTCCATCCCCAAGCTAAAGCTGACCCGTCCTGTGCCCGCTGGCTTGGACCTGCCGCCCCCCAAGATCCGCCTGAAGCCYCACCGCGTGGGGGATGGCGAACAGGAGCCGCTGTACAGGGCTGAGCTGGTGGAGGAGCTGAGCGGCTGCCTGCGAGGTCCCCGGGCCAGCCCTCCGGCCCTCCTGGCGGACGGCTCTGCCCATGGGCTGGAGGACTTGTCTTCTGGAAGTTCTGGCGAGGACGATGACTTCAAGAGGTGTCCCCAAGGTAAACAGGGACGTGAGGGGTTGGCTTTTCTTGTCAACTGCCCGGAAGGAAGGGCAGACTGCACCAGCGAGTCTGTGTGTAGCAGCGACAGCCTGGACGAGTCCAAGTCCTCCAGCTCCGAAGTCACGTCTGCAGACACAGGGGACCTGTCATCCGGCGACGGTGCCTCCGTGCCTTCCTCCTCCAGGGACGCTAACCAGACAGTCCCACCCCTCACAGTCAGGCTGCACACTCAGAGCGTCTCCAAGTGCGTTACCGAAGACGGAAGGACGGTGGCCGTAGGGGACGTCGTGTGGGGTAAGATCCATGGTTTTCCTTGGTGGCCAGCMCGTGTCCTTGACATCAGCCTTGGCCAGAAGGAGGATGGAGAGCCCTCTTGGCAAGAAGCAAAAGTCTCATGGTTTGGGTCTCCAACTACATCATTCTTATCTATCTCAAAACTCTCCCCTTTCTCTGAATTTTTCAAACTGAGATTTAACCGTAAGAAGAAGGGGGTGTATCGGAAAGCTATAACCGAGGCTGCGAATGCCGCGCGACACGTGGCCCCAGAAATCAGGGAGCTCTTGACCCAGTTTGAAACATRACATTGGCTCCCTGACCAGGTGAGTGTGTCTGCTGGCGCTGTCCTGAGCTCGTGTTCATCTGCATCGAGGTGCGCCCAGCCCATGGCTGGCTGCTCTGAGGGGAGCCACCCTGGCTCTGTCACCTGAGGGCCCAGCTTCACTGCAGAGGGGCTTTGGAGTAGGCCAGTTTCATAGCTGCTACTTCAGAGCGAGGTTGAGTCTTGCAGCCATTTTCCAAAAGAAGCCCCGGGAAGGGTTTCCGCATGCTTCTGAGGGACTGGAGGCAGGGGTGCTGCTGGACTGAGCGGGAAGCACTCTGGGGGATCGCCTGCACCCCTTCCCAAAGCCTGGAGCAGGGCCTGGCGCTCCTGCTGCCCCACACTGTGCCGCRTGGCTTGACAGAGGAAGGAGGCGAGGTGCACTTCCTGCCTGGTCTGCCTCCCCGTGACAGCTGGGTGTCGTGGCTCTTGGTKGGGGACCTGTGGTGGCCAGGTGCTCCGGGTCCTAGGAGGTGCTCRGCCTGTTCCTGGAGTCAGGGTCTCATCCTCCTTGCCCACCCCCAGGAGGACCACRTCAGAGTCACCAGCGGTTCCTAAAGGGAGCCTGTGCCACTCGGGACCTCATCACATGGGAGGGGCAGAGGGTGTCACCATGTGGGGGACATCACCCCTACGGAGTTGGGGGGTCAGGGTGGCAAGTCTGTGCCCCCATGTAAGGCATCTGGAAGGCACGGAGGGCTGCAGCCTCCCCTGCACTTGTTTCTGGGCATGTTCCTGCCTSGCTGGTGGCTAGTACCAGACTGCCCCCACTCCTGGCTGGCACCCTCTGTGCCGGTCTTCATGACTGAGGACCAACTAACTCAGCCAGGACAGGAGCTTCCGGATAAACACGGGACAGGAGCTGTCCATCTACTGTCCCCGCTGCGCCTCTGCCCTGTCTTGGTGACCTTCAGTGACCACATCTGCCTCTGCCATCCGCCTGGAGTCCTGGCCTCCTGGGTGGCCATCCTTCAGGTCCTAGCAGGGCTGACTGATGATTGGCTAGAGAAGGGGTCCGGTGGGCTTCAAGCCCTGTCACTGCTCTGCCTTATGCATTGGGGTCCTAGGACAGGAGGTGGTGATGGGGGCCTGTCACAGGGGCTGGTTCTAAGGCTGCCTGGCTGTCCAGGCTCTGCCCTGGCCTTGTCCTCCCCGCCTGGACAGTGGGGTGCCTCTGCCTCCTTCCCAGGAGTCCAGACACAAATCAGGCCCATCTCCCGTCAGTTCTGGGCACTTTGTGGGAGCCTGGCGGGTGCACAGGCGTGTGGGTGTGGGCGGTAGCCTCTGCACGCCTGCACATGTCTAGGGTGCTTGTCCTGAGCCATGAGCCCCCGTGGAGAGGGGAAAGAGGGAGGCCAGGTGACCGAGGCCTGGCCTGGTGGCTGACCTGCAGCACCTGTTCTTGCCTCGCCCTCTGCCCAGTCCTCGCCCCTGACTCCACGCTGGTCCTTGCTCTGACCTAGTCTGGAGTTAGCATGGAGGCTGCTGGCTCCTCTCACACATGCCCCTCTGGGTGCCGTCAGCCCAGCTCCAGAGGAGGGTGGAGCCCAGCTCAGCCCTCACCGCACGCCCTCCAGCTCCAGTCACACTGGCTGTGGGGACTCAGTTACAAGGGACTCAGCCACSTGCAGGCTCCTCCTGTGGACTGGTGGGCTCTGGGAAGCCCAGCAAGGGGAGGCTCTGGGTCAGAGAATGCAGCCCTGTAGGTTCAGGGCTGCCTATGTTTATCCGGAAGCAAAGGAAAAATCTCACCCGACTGGTTTGCCTGCCACACAGGCTGCTTCTCCTGGGGCCGTGCCTGGGCCAGACGTGCTGCCCGGCAGCCTGAGTGCTCTGGGGCCTGTGGGGCGCTTGGTCCCCTCAGTGTGGAGGTGCTCAGCCGTGGTTGCCTGATCTGTGTTTGGCTGTTGTTTCCTAGGGATCAGGCTGGGAGCCAGGTGCCCATCGCCCAGGCCATTCACATGCTCAGCCCTGACCAGAGCTGGTGCCCACAGCCCCGGGCCTCCTGCTTGGTGTGGGTTGGTGGTCCCCTGGCAGACGTTGGCTTTGGAGTGTCAGCAGTACTGCTGGGGGCAACCCTCGTCCTGCTCTTTGGAAGGGAACCTGGGGATCCCTTCCCTGAGCAGAGATCGATGGGGACCCCGGGGCGGGGCCTGGTTGCTGGCATCTGGGCACCTTGGCACCTCTTGGGAAGAGGAGGGAGAGCAGGGAGGCCTGCTGGGAAGGTCAGCTGCAGTGCCTGAAGATGGTGGTGGCTGGGGCACCAGCTCCCAGAGGTTCGGGGGTGGCACAGGCATGTCAGGAGAGTGACAGCAGATGAACAAGATCTCCACCCTCCCAGGGCACAGAGCACAACACCCATCCCTGAGAGACCCTTGCCAGGCTGGGCTCGGGGGCAGGCTCCTGGGCCCTCAGTGGGGACCACCACCAGAAGGCAGTGTCCTTGCTGTGGCTGACTGGTGCTGCTCCTGGTGAGCCCTGGCCCAGGCCACTGAGGCCACAACCTCGGGTGGAGGCACAGAGGCTACAGCCCCCTGTGTCGTGGGGGTGACAGCAGCTCCTGCCTCATGCCTGAAGGAGCAGTGCCCATGTGCCATGCTCCATGGACAGTCATGGCCAGGCCAGGGGCTGTGGGTGACCCACTGGCAAACTCCCTTGAGGTGACCACTGCACCCTGTCTGGCTTGGCACAAGGGAGTGAGGTCAGAGGCTGTGCTGGGGATGGGAGTCTGGAAACCAGCTCTCAGGGGGTCCCTGTGCCTGGCGGCAGGGCGCACACTCCTGTGGATGGGCAGGCACTATGCCCCTGCCCTTGGTACTGCTTGGGGTCCTGCAGGAGCTGGCCAGCCGGCTCTCCCTAGAGACAGGAATRGGGACTCCCAGAGACCTTGTGCAAGCCTGCCTACACCCCACCTCCCGGACCCGCTGTGCCTGGAGGGATCYGTCTGGGTGCTCAAGGCCCTGGCACTGGTCCTCACTAGCTTCCCTCCTATCTGCCTGCTCCGCCCAGCCCGTCCGCACCCCTGAGGGCAAACAAGGCCAGAGTGGGCTAGAGAGTGGGCAGAGTCATGGAGGTCTTCACCCTGATCACACACAGACCTGCAGAGGAGGAGGCAGGAGGCCCTTGAGGCAGAGCAGCAGCAGGAGCCTTAGCCTGGACTGGGATAAGGAAGGCTTCCTGGAGGGGCAACAGGAGCTGAGACCCCTAATTGAGGGCCAGTTGGGAGCTTAGAGGGTGTGGGTGGTGCACAAGGCAGAGGAACACCAGGGCACATTCTGAGGGCTGGCCCCATTCCAGGGGGCCTTGGGCCTGCTGGACCCAGTCTTAGCTCTGCCTGGAGAAATGCACGCGGCCAGTGAGCAGCTCCTGTTTGTGCTTTGAGCACAGGGTGTGATGGGCCAGTGCTGGGCCTGGAGAGGAGCCGCAGAGGTGCTGTGTTTGCTGCTGGAACTGGGGGTGCCAGCCCCTTGCCCATGAGAACCACCCAGACTGGAGTGGGTGCAGCTGGCTGGCGAGAGAGGTGTCCAGGGTCTGGCTGAGGCATCTCAGAGCCGAGAGYGCAGAGCTCGGTGCTTGGGGCTGGGGCAAGGTGTGGGCCCACGTCCGGGGTAACTGAACAAGGACAGACCTGAAAAGGGGCAGGTGGAGCGCCACCCAGGGCTGCTTGAGGGGAGGGCCTTTGAAGCAAGAGAAGTGGAGAGGTCACAGGAGGGTAAGTGGCAGTTTGGGGGCAGGAAGAGGGTCTGGCAGAGAGCAGGCAGTGCTGGCCAGCCTGGGGAGAGGTGGCCAGTTGAGGACTGGAGGGACAGCCTTGGGGCTGATCTTGATTGGACGGGAACCTTGCTCATTGCACACTCAGCACCGCAGAGGGCTGGGGTGCTGGGTGGGCAGTCACCCAGGGCAAGCCCAGAGAGGCCAAGGTCTTCCCAAGGATTGGCCAGAGACAGCACACCTGCCCATGTGTTCTGGGAGCTGTGGGAGCCAATGGGGACCCTTCTGTGCTCTCCTGGGAGCCCAGACCCTTCCTGGGGCAGAGCTGCAGAGCGGGCCGGTGGCCAGGGCCCTGCACTGGGCTGTGGCTGTGGCTGGGGTGTGGGCTGGAAGCCACAGCTCCTCCCTGAGGGGGTGGAGGGCCGTCCCAGGCCCAGCCTCTCAGAGGCCCCAGCTCCCTCCCTGGCTGGCTGGCAGGACGCCTCCCTCTCCCTGGGGCAGGTGCTCTTGCACTGGGGTCCATCAGGCTGCGGCTTCCATCAGCCGGCTCCTTTGCATGAGCTTCCTGTGGCCACGGTAACAAACTGCCACACAGGGGGAACACTCATTCTCACATTCCCGGAAACCAAGTCTGACACCAAGGCGTGGTCAGGGCTGCCCAGCCTTGGAGACTCTGAGGAAGGTCCTTCCTGCCTCCCAGCACCTGGGGGCTCCAGCCCTCCCCCCCCCCCGTGGCCACGGACCCCCAGGGTCTTTGCTGGCTCTTCCTCCTCCTCAGCACTGAATCTCCCTCCCCTCTTTGGTGAAGGCCCCCCAGTGGCATTGAGGGCTCCCTTGCAGAATTAGGGTGATCCAGCCATCTCAAGACCCTCAGGACACCTGCAAAGATGCACCACTGCAGGTAGCACCCCTGCCAGGGGGGAGGACTGACACAGGGCTCCCCCCCTCACTCCTCCTCTCCAAGTTACATTCCCCATGTGCTGCGTGAATATCTGTGGGTGCTGGAGGTCCACGTCAGCCTCAGGTCAGGTGCCGCCCCTGCCTGGGGCTGCGCTGGAGCTCCTGCRCTGGAGGTTCTGCAGGGGTTTGTGCAGGATGTAGAAAACCATGGTTCCAGAAGGATATGCGGGGGCTGGGAAAATCTGCTGGCAACCAGTCCTGGGAGCACCCCCACTCTCGCCTCCCCCTCCACAAGGTCGATTCCCCCAGGGAAATGAGGCTAGAGATCAGGAGCCACGGGCTGAGTCCGGCAGGTGCTGGTGGTGCACCTGCTAGGTGGGGCCAGAGCGTGACCCTAGACCAACAGGCGCTGGGAGCCGGTTCTCCTGGGTGCCCTGGCGGCGAGTCCTGAGAGCAGCACCTGGAGCTGAGTGCTGCAAGCCAGCTCCTCTTTCTTCCAGCTCTAAATAAAATGTCCTCCTTCTCCTGAGGATGGCTGTCAGCCGCCTGCCACGTTGCTTCCAGGGAATTCAGGTCCTCCAGGAAGGTGGTGATTATTTTGTTCCAGAAGGAAGCTAAGGCCTGTGATTCTGAGCCCGCTGTGGGGCTCCATCTGTCCCACCCCAGCACTTAGCAGCCTGTGCCTGCTGCCGCCTCTGGGCGTCGGGTGGGCTCCTGTGGGCAGGTGGGGCAGGCAGTTCTGGGGTGCTCCTCTAGGAGCTGGGTTTCTGGGGCCCAGTTGTCTTGGTGTGACCCCTGCCTGTCCCCTCCCCTCTCTCCAGTGAGATGCCCTAATGCCAAGTGCCTTGGTTGCTTCTTGGGTCCTCCCCACAATTATTGATTTCACACCTGTAAAAGTCCGTATGTGCACACGGTAAATTATCTTAAAGAATGCCTATCGGTGTGGCATTATGYTGTTATACTACACCGGGGAGGACCCCCCAAAGCCAGCCAGAGGTGGTGAGAGCAGCCTAGCGGTTCCAGCAGGCCCTTCGTGCCGGGGCCTRGCCTTCCTGTCCCCAGGTGAAGACATCGCACCATCTCACAGCTATACTTTTGGTTGAAAGATTCTCTAAGATTTCTGGGTTCTGGAGATGTAGTGTGCTCTGTGCTTCTGTGGGCAGTCCTGTGGCCCTGGGCCAATCAGTCCCCTCCCGTGGCTCTGCCTCCTGGTTTGTCCCTCAGCTTTCAGCAGAGCAGGTTCAGAGGGGCACTGGCCTGGGGGCCTGGGCAGTAGCCCACAGCTGCTCCCTGGGTAGGGAGCTGCTGGCCTCTGATGCCTAGGCACTGGTGTGGAGGAATGGGGTGGGTCTGAGGATCTACCCCAGAGCAGTTCTGTGAAGTCCTGGAGGCCTAGAGGCCTCTGCCCTCTGGGCAGCTGAGCTCAGCTCTGCAGCCCCAGCTGGGGTCCAGCCTGTGGGCATGGACTCTGCTCCTTTTGCCAGGAGCGGGAAGGTCCTTCTGAAGGCCACTGTGGGGGAGAGCCCGGGCCATCCTCCCCAGGCCTGCATTTTCCTAAGGAGGACTGCGGCTGAAGGACACCTGGCGTTTTCAGAGGCAGCATGGCTGTCGGCAGGGACGTGCGGTGCGGTCTCTTTGCAGTGAAGCATAGCTGCCCTGATTTGGCCCCTTGTAAATCCTAGAGTCCCCAGTAAGAAGGGGTGGGCGGAGCAGTTTCCAGGTATGACTGTCCCCACCCAGAGCCCACAGAGAGCCTACAGCGGTCAGACCTTGCCAGCAGCCCTGGTCATTCACAGGGGTTTGGAAGGGACACTCTGTAAGCTGGACACCTGCCCAGGGTGGGTGACTGTCCTCAGATGTGCTGCAGCCTGGGTGGGGCAGGGTAGGCCAGGAATGGTGTCCACAGATCTGGGGCCACTGGACCCGCCTCACGACCAGTCACGGATTTGGGAGGAGTCTGCAGATTCCTGGGGCTCACCCTTGCCCGTGAGGGATGTCCATGCCCAGGGGACAGTGCTGGTTGGTGACCAAGGAGGGAACAGTGAGGAGGTGGCGTGGCTGCAGGGAGGCATGCTGGGACTCACTGTGGACCCTGGCTGCAGGCCGTGGGGTGGACTGGTGGCCGAGACTAACCCAGGAGCAGTGGGGCATGTGCCCGTCAGCCCCCGCAGCACCACAGAGCAGGCCAGCAGGGCACAGATGCCATGGCCCGGAGCGCTGGCTGTGCTAGGCCCTGCTGGTCTGTGTCGTGGGCAGCAGCTCAGTCCAGGGGTGTGACCATCACCCTGAGAGAACAGACCTGTTGTGGGGTGCCGTGACCTTGACCTCTCCGGGGCTCAGCGGTGCGGGACTGTTTTGCAAGGGATGATTTCTCAGGCCTCAAGTCAGGGCCTTAGCTGGCTAGGGCAGGGCTGCTGCCCAAGGTGGCCTTGGGGTGGGTGTRGGGCCTGGCTCAGGCCTGGGCCCTCCCACAGGGTCTGTGCTCTGGTTTGGACACAGCCTGCCCTCCCTGTAGAGAGATCAGGGATGGGGGTGGTCAGGCCTGGACTGAGGGGAATGGGCCATGTAACCATCGGACCCAGCGGTGGAGGCCTGGCCTCTTGGGGCACCTCTCCCGGATGCTCAGTCTGTCCAGTAGGTGCTGTGAGTCAGGCCTGCACAAGCCGGGCCCAGGTCTAGAGAGGTCCAATCTCAAGCCGGGTCAGGCTTCAGGAGAAGGGACTTCCTATAGCAGTGTCCCAGACCAAGGGACCTATCCTGGCCTGCCCAGCTTTCCTAGAGGCATCCTGACCCCACCACTGTCCTCGGGCCGTTGCCATCCTCACTTCCTGGGAGCGCATGGGTGGCTGCTTCCCTGTACAGTCGAAGCCTGTGCCCCACCCTGCTCAGCACTGGGGGGGGGGGGGGCTGCAGTCATCACAAGCAGCACAGCTGGACCAGGCGTCCACCCCTGTCTTGGGCCCTGCAGAAGGTGGGTGCCGGCACTGGGTGGTGGTTGGAGGGCCTAGCCTGGCAGCAGTGGGTCTCCACACAGGCCGAAGCCTCTGTGGTTCCACTCTTTGCAAACAGTGCAGGGTGACCTAGAAACCCTGCTGCTGACCCATGCCCAGCCAGAGCTCCTGCAGTGTGCCCTACCCACCCGCCAAGCCCCCAGTACAGAGGTGGCCCACTGTTGCCTGGAGGTCACTGCAAGGGGCTTTGCCYGCTCACCCTGGTGGCTCTGCCGTCAAGGCAGCCCACTCTCAGGTTGCTGAGTCCCTTGGCAGGGCTGTGTTGGGTGAGGGTCCAGCCCCTGCATCACCACGCCTGGGGCCTGGGGTGTGTGAGGTCAGCGTGTATCACTTTCCAGAGTGCCTGGCCCACTTCACCAAGGCTGGGTGCTTCCTTGGACAGGGCCCTGGGATGGAGTTGTTCTGGATAAGGGTGGTCACCACAGCTCCCAGCAGCAGGAGGCCGCAGGCAGGAAATGGGGTCTGTCCTGCACGCCTCAAAGACTGCCCAGTGTGGCCAGGGCACCTCCTATCCTAGGACCCTGAGGAATGTCACCAAGCAGGGGTCTAACCCGACCTTGCCATCCGTTCTGCTGTGACCCTGCCTGGTGGACCTCTTCGGGACTGGAGTCTGGACTTGTGTAGACCTGGTGGGCACAGGTTTAGCCTCCTGGAGCTCTTGGACACGGAGATTGCTGTGCAGCCTTGAGTGTTCCCATGGTCTCCCTCACTCCTCTGCCTAGGGCCTGACCTGAGCCCCTAGAACCTGGGCAGGCACCGTCCACTCCTGCCTGGCTGTCTGGTGGCCAGTGCAGCCTTGTGTGGGAAGGTCTGGGGAGGCCAGTGCGCCACTGGGGCCAGGCCTGCCTTCAGCAGAGGGTTCTTTTGGGTGGTAAGTCCCCCACCTATGGTCTGTCTGTCTGGAGAGGGGAATAGGGGTCCTGGGCAGCTGACCAGCCCCCCTGAGCAGTGAGCAAGGGGCCAGTGTGGGGGTCCTGGGAGATGCATGTTGGACTCTGTGGAAGACCCGTGGGCCTGCATCACCTCTCCATACCTGSGTGGAAAAGCGTGGGCCTGGCCTCACGTGCAGGGAGCTCCTGGACACACTCAGTGCAGTTCTCTGGTACCGTGCCCAGTGCTGAGGACGTCTTCAGGTTTCTGAATGGCGGCTCCTGATTCTTGACTTTTCAGCTTAGATGATGTTGGTGACTGTAGCAGAGGAGGCGTTGGCATTCTTGTGTCCCCTGCTCCCAGCCACACATGCACCTGTGCTGAATAGGGATGCCTGCAGCTTGCCCCTGCCCAGGCCGCGGATGAACTTGGGCTCTCTGCTCTCTGGGCTGATCCTGGCCTCGCTGCCTCCTGGTGGGCACTGTGGTCCTGCCCCTCCCTTGTCCCCAGCCTCGGTGCCCTCGCCCGTTAGGTTGGGGGCTTGTGGTGTTGAAGGCTTCCCCTCAGCTGCTCCACACAGCTCCGGGTGGTTGTGTCTCAGTTCTCGGCACCCGCTGGCCTCCCGTGTTGAGTGGGCCACAGCAGGTCTGCCCTCTCCCACCTGTGTCCCCCAGGGCCAGAGGGTTGTGTCCTGGTAGAGGGAGACCCTGGGACCCCTCCCCAGGCTCAGGTGCTGAGGGGCATGTCCCTGCAGGGGTGGTCAGTGCACAGGAGGGTCCCAAAGAGACTCACTGGGTTCCCCTGCACAGTAAGCCTGTGGCTGGAAGAAGCCAGAAGAGTGGGCTGCTCCTCACACCCACGTGACTTTCTCTGTGCTGGACTTGGGCTAGCCCTGTGGTCCAGGCCGTCCAGCCACTGAAGACCCCCCCTCYCCTCAGGCACAGCCAGACCCTGGGCACCCGAGGTCAAGGGCAGGTGGACTCATGGACATGGAAAGGGTAGTGGAGAGCGACAGAGCCCAGGAGGGCTGGCTCAGAGACTGTGGCAGAGTCTCTGGGCTGGTGCTCTGGCCCCGAGGGGCCTGCCTCCCAGCCCCTGGGTCCACGGTAACCTGTGCCCCTTTCTGCTTCCCCAAGGTCACTGATGGTGAGGGCACGGCTGTCATCCTGGAGCTTCTGACTTCCATCCGAGGGACCTCTCGTGCCTTCTGGCCGGCTATGTGTGGAGACACGCTGGGCACCGTGGTCAGCCTGGTGCAAAGCCCCCAGAGCAGCAGGTGTGTCCAGGGAGGGGACAAGCCCAGGGCACGGCGGCTCCTCTCAGCTGAATGGGCCTGTGGCTCAGGCTACAATATCCCTGGCTGGAAGTCCCAGGAACTCAGTGACAAGCTTGCGGCTTCCTGTGTCAGGCCCAGATAGCTGCCGGGCTCAGGCATTCCTGTGCGGAGCAGGGCCTTCCTCCCTGGCCAGTCTAGCCACTGGTGTGGGTGGCCATGTCCAGCCATGGAGCATTCTCCTGGCATGGCGGTCCTGGCTGCTCAGCTCTGGCTGCCCTGCCAGCTTGAGGAAAACCAAGTTGCACGTCTGCCTGTCTTTCCCCAGCCCTTGGGTGCAGGGTCGTAGGGCAGCTGAGAGCCSGGGACCCGCCCACGTCTCCCCCACGTTCCTCCCAGAGCGCAGGTCTCCCCCGTGCCCAGCCCACCTGCAAGGCCACCTTGTCCTGGAGATGTTGCCACCAGCTCACGGCACAGTGAGGAGGAGGTGAAGGGCAGGCCTCAGAGACGGGCGCTGACGTTGTGAGGCGCCTCCGCGGTGCTGTGTAAGAGCATTCCCTCCCCGTCACTGTAACGACCAAAAGGAAGAAGAAAAGGAAAAGAGAAAATCTGTCTTCTGCCTTTTCTTTGTTTAAATGTGAAAGAATAAAGTCTGTTGAGGTTCTACCTGAGCCACCCTTCGGTCGCGCGTGTGCCGCTGGCTGGATGGAGGCAGCCTGGAGCCCCCCATGTGAGGAAGGACCGTGCTCCTGGTCTCAGGTGGGCCATGCCACAGCTTCGCTCACCGTCACCTGGCAGGACTGACCACCTCCAGGTGGGCCCGAGGGTCCAGCCTCCCCATCTTGCCCCCGCCACCTGGTTCCTGGTGGACGCCTGGGTCTGGGGCAGAGGGAACACAGTGTAGGTGGGTAGGTCCACATGCTTTTCTGCTGGTGAAGCCTCTCCTCCGGCTTCTTGATGGGCTCCCGTCACAAATGATGGTGGTGGCCCTGCTTGTCCCTGGTTGTACAGGAGCATTCTGCATCGCCAGAGCGCCACCCTCCTCCGGAAGGCCTGGTGGGGCAGTGGACGGACTCTGATCCGTCACTCCACCACTGCCTGCCCACAGCGGTCCTCGTGGCTTCTTGTGGCCCTGAGCCTACTCACAGGTGCAGAGGGCATGGCTCCCAGACCTGTCCTCAAGCAGAATCTCACACAACAGTCTCCAGAAGGAGCTGGCTGGGGCTGCTTGACCCTGACATCATCCAGGACCTTGGGGTCCTGGGAACCTTTGAAAATCCACAGCAGGACAGGGGAGCTTGCATAAGGGAGGGGGCTTTGGAGGAAGGAGCCAGCCCCTGTGACGGCAAGGACTGAGACGCTCTGTCCTGGGCTCGGCCTCCCACGTTCGATCCTGCCCCGAGGTCCTGTGGAACAACAGGTAGGCTTTCACTTCAGAAGGAGCGGAGTCCCAGGGCAGCCAGACCCCACTGTGTGTCAGCCAGTGGTCACATGGGAACAGATCCTGAATGTCTGYGTCCTGCCCAGGGTCCCAGGAAGGCCTGAGCTGGGGAAGAACTCTTCCCAGCCACTTGGGCCAAGGGGACTTTTCTGTCGGGGGCCGGGACAGAGGCTGATGTCTTCCAGGCTGCTCTGCTGGGCAGAGGGGAGCCTGGTTTTCTCAGAAGCCAACACAGCTGGGCAGCTGCACAGCCCCAGGTGCCTGCTTGGGGGGTGAAATCTGCATCCTCAGGGATGTCCTCAGCCTGAGCAGGTGCTGTCACCTATCCAGGCCCGGGGTGGGGGGGTGTCTTCCTCCCCCAGGATGAAAGGAATGGGTGAGGCCGTGTGAGCACCCCACCCTGGGTCYCCAGCAACAGCTTGGAAAGGCTGACCCTGCCCTCTGTCCATGGTCATTTGCAGCAACTGCACTCCTTAGCTCCAGGGCCTGGCAGTGACCATTGGGGACTGAGTAGGAGGGGCCTGCAGCAGGGAGGAGGTCCCCATGAGCCCCCTGCTCCAGGCGTCCCCTTTTAGCCCATCCTGCTGGGGCACTGCTCTAGGACTTGGGGTCTGGTCCCTCTCCTGGGGTGAGGGGAGCCCATAAGTAGCTGTCACTAGGCAGCTCCCCAGCCACGCATGATTATCACAGGGCCAGAGGCTCTGAACCCCTAGACCAAGGGCCTGAGGTGGAGAGCGAATCCTCTGCATCTAGTCAGTCCGATGGCTGCTCCCAGAGCCGGTGGCACTGGGCCCCCAGTTGCTCCCACACCCTGGCCCTGGGAATGGGCAAGGCTGTCCTTGAGAAGTGGTGCCTCCCTGGTGCATCTGAAAGAGCTGTCCAGCCCCGACACCCACCCSGGAGATCCCAGTCTGCAGAGGAGGTCTGGGAGTCGCTGGCGCACTAGTCCTGTGAGCTGGTCCTGGAGTGCAGACTGAGGCGTGGGTGGTATGTGTCCGGACACAGCAAGGCTGGGGCCTCTGCTCCTGACCCTTCCTGCTTGGCCCAACCTCTATGAACCCCACCTGCAGAAGCCAATCCACTCAGAGCAGGGCTGGGCTGGGCCACCCCCAAGTGTCCACCCGGTGTCCTCCTGCTTTCAAAGGCACTGAGGTGAGGGCAGGTATGAGTGGAACCCGATGGCAGCCAAGGTGCCACGGGGCTAGCACTTGCCCAGGCAGGGACACCCCAAGATCAGGCCACTCTCACCAGCCCCAGGGTCCTTGGGTGAACAGCTGTGTCCCAACTCTACCAGAATCCAGCTGTCTCTCTGGCCACCAGGGCTGGCCATCTGTCATACACCTGAGGCCAACTATCACCACTGTGCTATAGTGCAGGCTGGTTGGGGGCCTTGGGGCACAGCCCAAGCCTGTGTATCCCACAGTCGCCTGGCCACCAGCCTAAGCCGCCTGCCTTCCTCTGAGGGACCCTCATCATCATGACTGCCCCAGTGCCTCCCACCTCCACTGCTCGMCCTGTGCCCTGTGCCCTGTGCCCTGCACCCTGCGCCCTGCACCCTGCCAGGCTTTCCCAGCTCCTGCCTCTGTGCACCTGCAGTCCAGACCCCAGGTTGCTGCTCCCCAACCAGGTGCCTGCACATCAGGGCAAGAGAGAGAGGGACAGTGCAGGAGGCAGGAGACAGGGAAGGGGCAGAAGCGGAGGCCTCAGTGTGGACTGGGCACTTGGCTACACAATGGACCTGTGGTGTAGGGTGCCAGGCTAGAGTGCCTGCATCTTACCACTGGAAAAACTGAGAGTTGGAGCCCCCAGCTTATTTCTGATCTCTGTCCACTGCATTTCAGTGCCCCAGAGACCTGGACAATTGCAGATGGTGCTGGGTGACCAGCATCCCCACCAGGATCCCCTCCTGTCTCTGCAGGGTCTTTTGGTTGGTTGGTTGGTTTGGAATCAAACTCAGGGCCTGGAGTGTGCTGGTCAAGCACTTTATCACTGAACCTCACCCCAGCCCTTTCTATTTTATTGTAAGATAGGATCTTGCTAAATTGCTGAGGCTGGCCTCAAACTTGCAATCCTCCTGCTCTGCCTCCTGAGTAGCGAGGATTGCAGGTAGGACCCAGCTCTGCAGGGTCTGTTTCTCTGATTATAAGGTAACTCCTATTAGTAGGARAGACGAATGAAGATAAAAAGTCTCCTGCAGTCTCCCACCCTCAGGGGTCTCTGCGTGTGTCTTCCCAGGTGTGTTTCCTGGGTGTTAAGAGATGTTTGCACTGCTGACCTGGCACCCAGGAAGCTCTGTGCCCAGTGCACCCTTCCCTGGCTCTCGTGACTTCCTGTGTCCTCGGGGCTCACCCTCTCCTTCCGGAACTAGCACTGGGGGGCCAGGAGTGCCTGGTGCTGGGCTTCTCACCCTCTGGACACTGCAGGCTGCCTGGCTGGGGTTGAAGCTGGAGTAGCCCCTGCAGGACCTGCTCCCGTCCCGTCATCAGAATACGGAAGAGGGAGAACAGATGGGGCAGGGCTGGCCCTCGTGGTTGGCTGGGAGTGGCCAGCATCTGCTGAGGGCTTAGCTGCTCGTACCCCAGAAACCTGAGGACATTTCAGGAGCTGACCCATGCCCAGCAGGACCACGGGCCATGCCGGGCTGCCTGCCAGTCTGATCCAGGGCTGACCTCCCCTCCTTGCCCAGCTCCTGTGGGTGCAGGCGTGGTCAGCTTGCCCCTCCTGCTGGGCCTGTGGGGCCTGGGCTTATGGCTTAGGCTGTCACCAGGGCCTGCCTCCCTTCCTGCCCCCGCCCCCGCGGAGGCACTGCAGCCACCAGCCTCTGCCCCAGCTGATTTATTTTTAGCTTCAGCCCCGCCTGACACCACCATGAGCTTTGCACTGGGATCCGCAGAGAGGCGGGTGCGGCCTCAGGCTCCACCCAGGCCACCCAGCTCCAGCAACCAGAGGTGACAGGGAGGGAGCAGTGGGGGCGCCTTGCTTCCTAGTTATGGCTGTGGGTGTCAGGAGTGCCCAGGGGCCTGGAGCTTAGGGTCAGAGCCCAAGGAGCCCTGCAGCAGGGCCGGGTTAGTGTSCACAGCTAGAGCGTGGGTACGGGGACTGGTCCAAGAGGACCAGGAACSAGGCACAGGGACCAGGCCTGGGCAGAGTGACAGAGGCGGGAGCATGGAGGTCTGAGGGTGGGCATCTGGATAGGGAGGGGACACCTGTGCAGGGGGTGGGCTCATGGGCAAGAATTGTGGGAGATACAAAGTGAGAGTGGCCAGCATGGCGAAGGACAGCTGGGCTCAGGGTGTGGGGTGGAGGGACCCTGGGATGCAGGGAGGGACAGGGCTGGGGCTGGGCTGCCCAGGGCTGCCCGAGTGCAGGAAAGGGCCTGGTCAGGCTCCCTGCACCTACAGAGTGCGGTGGGAGGCAGCTGCCCCAGGAAGGGCAGAGAGTGTCGGGGACCGTGCAGTGCAGACCACAGCAGGGGCCCACCTGGGACAGACGGAAACAAGTCACCGAGGCGCTGCCCAGCCTTGTCCCACTCTGGCGGKCACTCAAGGGGTCATCAGGGAGGCATGTCCTTCTCCCTGAGGCTTGGTAGACCAGAGGGGACGGGACCCACAGTGGGCACAGTCAATGGGATGAGAGGGCTGCAGGGCAGCTGCAGTGAGGTTCACCAGCCCTTGGGTCCACTCTGGAGACAGTTGGAAGTGTGAGGTTCTCCTGCTGGCAGCAGCCCACAAGCAGCGGGAGCTGTGCCACCCGAGAGCCAGCAGGTGTGGGCTCCCTTCTGAGGGACGGAGACCCCCAGGCGGGCTGTGGTGACGGCRTGTGCGGACTGAGCGTCACGGGAGCACGGAGGCCTGAGCGGTGGGGCTTGGTGGATCTGCTTTGCACAGGGCCCTGTCGTCTCTCCCCGAGCAGCACCAGCACCAGGCCTGCCTGCTSCCCTCGGGCTGCAGTGAGCATGCACAGGGACATCCAGGCTGGCAGAGACGGGCACAAGAGTGGAGTGTGTGGGGCACATGCGTGTGCATGTTGTCCTGGGGGGTCCACGTGTGTGCAGCATCCCTGTGGGTCTCTGTGCCTGCGTGTTTGTGCTTTGGTGTGTGTGTGTCCTTGTGGATGTGTGTATCTGACTGTGTGTGCTGTGTGTGTGTCTCTGCAGGCGGGGGTGGGGGGCTGTGATGGGCAGCTTCGCCTGCCCTGCCCCAGG